ACCTATTGTTCACCCCCACTCAATTAATTAACCCTTTCACTAAATCACCCACCCCCACCCACCCTACACTACACCCATTCACCAGGTAAACAATAGATTTTTACCTGTCAATCAACGAAATCAATCAATCGATTAATTAATTAATCGAACCGCGAATTAAAACACCACCCACTCACCCACTTTCACATGACCCCCCCACTAGCCGACATACGCCCTTATGACTCCAAAATCGTCGATCCAGAACCCGCATTACATATCTACTTCCTGGCACGCAGTTCGCCCGTTCCGTCGCGGGCCACCATCCCTGGCTACTCAAGATGGCGGCGCATGTCGGGTCGACAGGAGTTTTCTCGGCTCCGGAGCCATGAGCCACGCACTGGCCACGCACCTTTTTCGTCCAGACACAGATCACTCCGGAAACACAATGGTCGTCACCACATGCTCCGAAACGAGACATGAGGTTTCGCGGCAGATGCAGGAGCATCTCCCCAGGTTCACCCTCGTGATTCGCATCACTCGGACGAGGAAGTATATCTTCCCGTTGCTAGGCTGTTTCAGCCATGCGTCATTCCGACAGGGCGGACAGGGGTCGCAGTTTCCTTCCAAACCGCTATGCCTTTGGCCCCTCATCGGAGGAAAATCTTGCCTGCCATCAATCCGAGGCCTTTGCGGTCTCCGCTAGATAGCTGTTCCGTCTCCGCTGTCCATACAACAGGGTTCTTTTCTGTTACCAGGGGGATCTCAGTCCATAACGAGAAAATCTCGTTACATACCTCCCTCCCTGAAAAAGGTTTCGACCCGAAACCTGCGGGGTTACTGCCTTCTTCTGAGTTCTCGCTCGTCCCCTGTGGTCTCTTCGGCCGAGGGGTCTTCTAGCGTCTTTTTATAGGGTTTCAAATCCACTATAGAGACGTCTCGGGTACGTCTGCCCAGCAGATCAGTAACCTGATACACGTTTCTGGAGTGCGTCCGGGTCACCACGAATGGTCCGTTGAACGGTTTGTTCAAGGACGCGGAGCGATGCCTTGCAGCACTGGACAGCTCGTGGTTGCAAGCCAATACAAGCTCGCCGACCTCCTACTCGTCTCGGTTTCGGTGCAAGTTGTAGGCTTGTGCTTGCCGATCATTGGCTTCCGCCAATGCATGCCTAAAGGCCAGTCGCATGGTGTCATGGCGCTTCATGCGCTCAACCCAGGCTTCTGTCGGGGTCTCTTCGACCTCCACATCACCCTCTATTCGTCGTCGCAGCGAATTAACTGGCTCGGGCTCTCGCCCGAGATTGACGAAAGCCGGGGTACCTTTTAATGAGGTATGCTGGGCTGTATTGTTTGCAAATCTAATTGCATCCAAGTGACAGTCCCAGTCCCGGTGGTCTGCCTCGACAAACGCTCGGATCATTGCTTTTAGTGAGCGGTCAACCCGCTCAGTGGTGTTTGCCTGCGGATGATACGGCGGTTTCGTGCGGTGCTCCATATTTGCAGAAGCAGCCAGCGCCTTCAAGTCCTTATTTACGAACTCGGTTCCATTATCCATCAGCAATTCCCGGGGAGTACCCCATCGATAGAAGATGTCTTGCTCCAGGGTCTTTCGGATCGTCGTTGCCGTTGCTTTTCGCAACGGACAGACTTCTATCCACTTTGTGAAGAAGTCTTGGATGACCAGGATATATTGGTTTCCCGACTTACTTCTCGTAAGCGAGCGGCTGGCGTAGACTATTACCCTCTCTTGTCCGTCCTGTACTTACGTGAGGACGGCCCCTAGACCCACACTGCCAGCATCCGTTTGCAGGGTGAAAGGTAGCGCGAAGTCTGGGCAGGCAAGGGTTGGCGCCGATGTGAGGTGCCTTTTCAGTGCCTCGAACGCTCCTTGCTGCTCTTCGTTCCACTGCCAGGGCCGACTCGCCTTCGTCAGACGGGTCAGCGGCTGTGCAATGGTCGCAAACTCTGGTATAAATCTCCGATACCAGGAGGCCATTCCCAGAAACCGACGTATTTGTTTCAAATTCTTCGGGGCGGGGAAGTCCACGATTGCCAAAGTTTTCTCCGGATCGACCTGGAGTCCTTGGCTATTCACGACGGAGCCGAGGTATTTCACCTCTGGCCGACAGAAAATACTCTTTTCTCGATTTATGGTCAGGGTGTGAAACCTCAGTTTATCGAGAACTTTCCCCAGCCACTTTAGCTGGTCCTCGAAGGTCTTGGAGACAACAATAATATCATCCAAGTACACGAAGACGTGGGGGGACATTTCTGGACCGATTACTCTGTCCAGAGCCCTTTGGAAGGCTGCCGGTGCATTCGTCAATCCGTACGACATGCGTTCGAATTGGAAGAACCCTGTTTCTGGTACCGTGAATGCAGTGACCTCTTTCGAGTCCTCCGCTAACGGAATCTGCCAATATGCGGCACTCAGATCGAGTGTCGTAATATAATTGGCTTGCCGTAACTCATCGAGGATTTCGGTCATATTTGCAACCGGGTAGGCGTCCTTCTTGGTTACTTCATTTACCCGACGGAAATCGATGCAAAATCGATATTTCCCGTTGGTTTTCTTGATCATCACTACGGGACTATTTCAGTCGCTTCGTGATGGTCGAATCACTCCATCTCGGAGCATTTCATCCACTTCCTTCTACATAACGAGCTTGATGTGTTCAGACACAACTCGGACCCTTTGACGGATCGGTTGATGCCCCCCCACGTCAATTCGGTGTGGCTCTAATTTGGAAATCGGTGGACTTCCTTCATGTACCGGAATTTTCTCGTCCAGCAACTGCTTGAGGAGGCGGTTTTCTTCCTCCCCTGGCACCTTGAGGCCGTTACACATCGTGATGTGGCAGGCCCTGTCGACTGCGACAAACCGAAATGTTTCGTCCGGTCGGTCGCGAAAGAACCAGGAGCTTTGCAGCCACAGAGGTAGAGAAGGCCTCGTTGCTGGGAATTCCACAACCCTTGCATCAGGGTTTCTTGGGCTCGGGGCAATCTCTATCCCAGTGCCCTGGCTTTCTGCAGTTCCAGCATAGGCATCCTGGTGCAGGGAAGGCCACTGTCTTCCTCCGTTTCTCTGGATTCGGAGGACGAACAAGGGGTGACGTCGCCATCACCTCCTCGGCCGAAGTTTTCCTCTTGGGGATTTTCGCCCCAACGGCCACGGCGGGCCTCTCGCCCCCTTGATGGAGGACTGTGGTGTATGTAGGACGAGCCTCCGCGAGGAGTTCCTCGTTTCGTGGACCTTTCGGTCCCGAGGGCGGGGCTTTTCCTTTTCCTTGGCTTTCCGGCCTCGGAACTGGCGTCTTCTCAGCCCGACGAGCTTTTTGAAGAGCCTTTCGGCTCCTCTGCTCTTTTCAGGCCGGGTATGCCGAGGCTACCTCGTCCTGGGGGCTGGGATCAGCGGCCTGTGGCTGGGCGAACCCCTGTGGAGCCAAGGGCAGTCGTGCAAGCACTGCCGCCATCAGCTCGGGGTTTTGCACCAGCGTTTGGACAAGGCTGTCCGCCAGGTCGGCTGGTGTGGGCCCGGGAATTTCTTCCTGAGCCACAACTTCTCCCACCTCTGGCATTTCTGCCGGAGGTTGCACGTCTGGCGAAGGTGGAGAAGTCGTGGAGATCTCCACTTCTTCATCCACCACCTCCATGGGCTCGTACTCGGGGGAAGGAATTTCTTCCTCCTCCACTAGAGCGGCTTGCAAGGCCATTTCGGCCTGCTCTTGCTCCGTTAACGGGGTATGGTCGGCCCATAACCTCCGGGGTATCACTACCCTGGGGGAACTCCTGGCCTTCCGCCAGGCCTTCTCCTGGACAAGGTGCTGTTTCGGTGTTTTGCAGCACCTTAGGCCCCTTGCCCTTGGTCTTCGTCTTCTTAGCACGTGGCATTTTCAGGCCACGTGCAACACTTCGTTTTCGGGGAAACGCTCTCGAAGTTTTCGCGTGTGGTCACGTTCGTGGCCTACACCGGAAAAAACGTTTACCTGACCTCTCACCACAAACTCAACAGGTGGTAGAGGTGGAGAAATTAGGACCCACTTTTACGGCGATTACACCGAACGTCGACATCACCCTCGACGCTGAGCACGGTTATTTGCGCTCTCTTCCCCTGGGAGGCCTTTCCAGGCCTCTCAGGGCGGTCCTCTTGCCCTTCGGGTATTGCTACCCGGGGCAAGGTCATACTCGCCTGCGACTTCACGGGGTTCCCCGGGCCACCAAGAGGCTGATCCGACCGAGGTGGATATCTTCCCATCGACCTCACGACCCCCCACGCTCCTGGCACGCAGTTCGCCCGTTCCGTCGCGAGCCACCGTCCCTGGCTATTCAAGATGGCGGCGCATGTCAGGTCGACAGGAGTTCTCTCGGCTCCAGACCCACGGGCCACGCACATCACCTTTTTCGTCCAGGCACAGATCACTCCGGAAACACAATGGTCGTCACCACATGCTCCGAAACGAGACATGAGGTTTCGCGGGAGATGCAGGAGCATCTCCCCAGGTTCGCCCTCGTGATTCGCATCACTCGGACCAATCCGAGGCCTTTGCGGCCTCCGCTAGATGGCTGTTCCGTCTCCGCTGTCCATAGAACAGGGTTCTTTTCTGTTACCAGGGGGATCTCAACCCATAACGACAAAATCTCGTTACAATTGTAAATGAAGTGTCATGAATTTTTCATCTCTTTAAAGGGAAGCGTAAGAGTATCTTTCGCTTACTGTGCTAAGTCCTCATTTAATTACCATTATGTACTTCAGTACATAATTATTAATATAGTATAGTATAATTATTATTAATACAATAAAATATAATGATTATTAATAAATATTTGAATTTTGTCTTGATTTTTCTCAATTAGATAACGAGCGGACACCTTTCATCATTCTGAAAACGACTTGAGAGGACATCGTGGGACCGACAGGCTTTCAGGATTCCCATTGGATGGCCAAAGCTTCGTCCGAGTTTTCTGTCATTCCAGACAATAGTCAATGAGGAATTACTATCTCTGCTGTCAGATGAGAGAGCTTCAATCCAGTCGTGGATGTTACCGATGTGATGTAGTTTGCGGAGCACGAGACTGATTGGTAATCAGCGGAACAATAAGAATAAATGAATTGAAGGAGAAATTTTCTGAGGTTAGTGTTGAACGCAAAAATTAATTTACGTTCAATTTAGGCAGCTCTGGAAATTTATGGTCATTCAGTATGGACAGGGATTTATTTATTTATTATAGCGTCGTCGAATTTTATAGAGCATGCGTGAATAATTATTGGTATCTGTTACACATGTCTGATTATTTGGAATTAGTCAATTTAACGTTGTCGCTCCCAATTATATTGCTTGCAACGTTTGATACCTGTGTTGCGGATGCCGCTCCTAATCAATGAATTTTCAGCACTATGCTTACATGATAAAAGCATAGGAATCAGGAATCGGCCTTCCCAAAAGCAAGAATAATCATGGCAATAACAAGAAATCGTTCTATCAACCAATGTTAGTAACCCTGATGGAACCCACGTGTCCCAGGAAATGACGACACACTCAATCAGGGGATTTTTCAATACCGTGAGGCAGCCTGATAGAACACATATGGATCTACCTGAGGCATTCCGAGAAACAATGTTAATTTGAATGTGGCAATGACTAATGTTGGTGACCTCCATGGAGTACACCTGCAGCAGAAGGAGGACATAAAAATATTCATCCTTAACAAAGGCAGACATCCTCAGCAGAGATGATGAGACAAAGGAGCTATACGCGACTTCCTTACGTCAACCCAGGTGTTCTAAGGTGGCCCCCATCGTAAGCACACCATCGTTGGAGGGAATGGGATGACCATATAAACTACAGAGGATGCCTGCAATTTCCAAGTATCGAAAATCTCACGTTGACCTCTCATCCGAAGTAGTTAATTAAAAATAACCGTCAGCAACCACACGTTTTGGCAGCTGAAATGACCTATCGCACACCTAAAAGATGTATAAAAAGAGGGCTGAAATCAAGGCTGCATCGATTATCTGATCAGTTTATCCAGTGTTACTTTGCTGCTACAACTAAACACTTCTGCTGCTTTCTCATCATCGCGATTTCGTTACGATTCTGCAGTATCCAGCTGGAATCTTTTCTGTGCGAAGTTTCGCTGACCTGTTAGTGATTATTTCAATTATTCAATTATTTTAATTTCGTTAATTATTTTAATTCAAAAAATTAAAATTTCCAGAGAAAAAAATCACGCAGTACCCAGCCGGCATTCGAACCCGTGTCTCCTAGTTACGCGGCGGGCACTCTCCCAGTTAAGCTACCGAGGATAACGGAAATTCTGGTATTCAGAAGTATACCAGTGAACGATTGAAATCCTTAATTTGGAGTCCACGGGCCCTGAGTCTGCCCAATACTTCTGATCTGCGAGACCATCAACAAATAGTCAGACAGGCGCCGTTCTATTCTCACCTGTCGTGCCGATAGTCTATGGTGTTTGCACGGTCGTAAACTCTTGCGGGAAGACCGAAACACCAGCACTCATCCACTGAGTCGAGTAGTCTACCGTGTATCCATGGTCATTAATTTCTCCAGGAAGGCCGATTGCCAGTAAATATCCCATTACACCACGACTCCAAACGTCAACCCCTTTACGGTCTGTTAACCTCAACGATAATCGTACGTCATACTGAAACATTAATAAACGCTACTCAATTTCGCACTGACTGTTATTTATTTTTCTTTTACCTCGAACCACCAAGTGTAATTTTTTGGGTGGTGTAATAAAACTCCACATCCTAGGGAATTGTCGACATATTATTCTTGTACGAAAACATTCAATGCTCGTGCACTCATAACCATTATATCCCTCAATATTTAATCCCACTTAATCAGTCCCCACCTGTGATAATTCCTTTCTCCCGGATGTCTCCACCGATTTTATTTACTTATGACCTAGGCGAATCAGTTTTCTATCGGTCAAAATGAAAACTAAAACCGACCAGCGTTGACGAGACTTGTTGCCGTTTGGTGGGCGGTTAGCTCAGGAGAGACGCCATTCCTAATTCGCATGACGTTGGAGATATTATTGGTTGTTGAGAATATCAAATAAATCGCTGGAGAAATTCTATATTATTTTAGGCTTTAGGCTTTTAGTGGTGAGCGTTCCTCACTGGGTGAGAAAGCGCAACGAGCCCTTAGGCCATTTTGCACTCTGCTCATTAGCAGCCGCCTAGTACACAGGTGCCAGCATATTCGCCCAACTCGTAGAGCCTTTCTATTCCGTCCCTATCAATATAAATGTCCTCGATACAGGTATTCCTGTAGACATTCCACCTGACATCGTCCCGGCCACTTAGTAGTACTTAGTAGTACTTAGGTGGTGCGCATCCTCTACATTTCGGGCATGTGGGATCTACATTTCTTCTACATTCCGGGCATGTGGGATCGCTTCCCCTGCACATGTTCACCAGATAAGAGGCCAGGGGCCAATGGCCTGTAATGTGTCCGACTAGCGAGCAGAGTTTCACTATGCCCAGCCCCATCAGCTCCTCAACCAACCTTTTCATAGGTTCACGTAAAAAGATCCTTGTATGACTGGGTTCCTTTGCAGAGCGCCGTCTCTCTACCCCCCTTCTCCGCTCGTGTCCGGCTAAAAATGAATTGTAACGCGATTTTCGCGTTAATAATAATGGAACATATTTACTGGGATAAATCACGCTCTCTGCCGCATCGATTGGGTCCGCTAATTCCCTATGCGTTGGGACTTGAGGTTGTACTACTGAACCTCAGCGCCCAATGAGACTCCTCTGTCGGAACACTTGGTTCTCCACTCCAGAGAACTTTTCCACGTTAGACGGGGCGGGCATTCACATGGCCAGGGGTCCAGATAAGGGGTTAACTGGACAGCCTGGTTGGGGACATTTGAATTCGGCGCGCTCCAGGAAACGTTACCCCCAGGGATAATCTCGCGGTGGTGATAAGTACCACGGATAATCCCCCACGTACTCCAGCCGCGTGAATCGGGAGTGTGGAGCAGAGCTACTAGGGAGCACTCTCCACTCCACACGGCAGAGTTGCTCCGGCACTCTCACGGGCCACTCGGCCTCGGGCTCTGACAGTCCGTAGCTCTCGGTGATTAGCGTGGCTATATCGCCTGTAATATTGCTTTGCCTATCGCTATCTCTCTTACAGCCATGAGGCTGAGCTAACGGACTACAGTAGGAGGTATACCTATACTTACAGCTCTCGCTATGCTAGCGCATATTGGCAGCTATCGACGTTCTACCGCTATCTAATTGCCGATCGCTCTCGCCTCTATCGACCTGATTTGCTATCGACCGCCCTACCCTACGAACTTCCCGACGCTATCGGGGACCGACCACACTAAAGAACTCCGACCCTCTCTCCATAACCTAGCATACTGAGCCACCCAGTGCGCGCGCACGCGTTCTAACTTTACATCCGCCACTTCGGTATTTGGCGGAAAGTCTCCAGAGGTACTCACTGCGCCCTGGGAAAGGGACAGTGACGATCTCTGGTCACGCACCTAATTTTAATTCATGGGTCTTTCCTAATTGTCTCCTTAACAACTAGGCGAAAACTTATCGGTCTTTTCTAATTGGGTCCTTAACAACTAGGCGAAAACTTATCGGTCTTTCCTAATTGTGTCCTTAACAACTAGGCGGAAACTTATCAGTCTTTCCTAATTGTGTCCTTAAGAACTAGGCGGAACTTATTGTCTGTCCTGTCGCGAGAACGGGCAAACCCCACCGATCTGTGCTCTCGTCCGTATGTGTTATGGGCTACTTCTGGGGAGGTGCTAACCCCCACCTCCCCCCGGTATCTTCTGTCTTTCCTAATTGTGTCCTCAACAACTAGGCGGTTTAAATGGTACTTCCTAATTGTATCCTTAACAACGAGGCGGCTCTCTGGTTTGCTATTTTACCCCTCTAAAATAGCTGGCGCCCTCCTGGTAAATTCGCGGATGCTACGGAACCGGCGAAGGTAACCAATTCCCCGGACTTACGGAACACTCCGGGGAAAACATCGTTACAGAATATAACTCCGATAAGAATTTTAATCGCTGACGATGAAAACAGGGCTAAAAAAGCCTTAGCAGTTACCAATCAGATCGATGGATTTCAAATGTAACACAGATCAAGTCCATATTAGGACCTATGAATTGACAAAATTTCAGATTTTTGGGAATTAATGGCTATTCTTCTTCTTTTGTAAAAATCTACCCTCAGTTAGCCATCTGCACATACATGCATGGCCCTCAAATTTGGAATTTTTAGGTTTCAGACAATTCTACGCCATTCGCCTGTAACCAATGAGGGAGTACATTTGCGCCGAGTGTCTCCCCTCATTGGTTACAGGGGGTTGGCCGAAACCATGAAGTCACCATCCAACGAAAGTTATGAGATAGCTCCGAGGAATTGACACACTTCGCCAGATGATTTCTTGTCGTCCCAACACGGGGACATCTCCAGCTTCAAAGGGTCCACTCCATTTGAGACACGAGTTTTCTAATGAACAATAGTTATCCATCGTTAAAGAAGGTCCAAACTTCATGGGCCATGAACGTCAGAAAAATACGTAAATATTCCCCGTCTGACATTCGAAGAACATTACTTAGAGGGCCGATGCGTGATCGTCCCGTCTTTTTCTCAAACACTTCTTCCGCACCTGAAGAAATGGGGATGATACCAAGGTGAGGGTACCCCGTCCGGAAACATCCCTTCTGAATACATTGTTAAACATATGAAGATGTCTCCCACCACATATAAAAAAAACGTTGGATGACGAAATATCAAAGTGCCAATGGTCGTAGGGGACTCATGTCTGAGCAGTATATAAAGGGCGGGTGTTGGCCAAATAAAGTCAGTCTAAATTAAATTTTCGACCAGAAATCTTCAAGTGGCACCCTGCTCGTCATCCAGTTCACTCTTTAAGACCTGTCTACAAGGGAGCAACTCTGCAGGACCACCCTCTGACGTCACTAGTGGGCATAGTCCGAGCGTACAACTCGACTCTCCTTGCAACCCCAGATTGAGTGCGCAACTTTAATTACAACCAACGAGATGAAAGTAAAATTTCGACTCTTGGTTATCAACGAGAAGCTTTGCTCAATATTAAAGCTGACCCTTCGAGATGCGTCTGTTGGGAAGCAGCTCCGCAGTACCACCTACTCGCCTCGCTTCTAAATCGAGTGGACAACTCGATTTTCTGCACTGTCAGGTCGACTATATTTCTTCAAGCCAGCGACGACCTGGTAAATTGTTCAGCGTGCAACTGAGCTCACCCTGAGCATACAGCCTATTAGGATGAGAGGATTATCCCAACCCTTCTAATAGGCTGGCTCCCGACTACCTGAATGTTGCCAGGCCCTACTTTAGACACCCCTTTTTGGCCAGCTTAACGGCGTCAATACTGTCAGGAATGTCAGCGTGACTAATTCAGGCCATTTTTAGCTGATTCTGAAAAGCTACTTTCTCCATCAGTTCCTTACCTCATATATACAGGGTGTCCGAGATAAAATTGTACACCCAAATCACTATTGAATGTGGGTAGTAATCGAAAAATCTTTCAAATAGAAGTTGTAGGGCTCCAAGTGGAAAAAATAATGAGATATATTTTGAGCATTTAAGTCTTCATGTTTTTATGCTACAAGCATAAGTTCATTTTTTTCATATGGGATCAAAAATTTTCTTGTAACAAAAGTTGTTGTACTCGATGAGATGAATCTAATGATGTCACACAATGTGTTATTTATGCTTTCTGAGCCCAAAAATACTAAAAATGGAAATTGTCAACGATATTCCATATGATATGATATGGATGGTAACGGTTCGATTTCAAAATATCGTGAGGTGTGCTGCGTGGAATACCTGAATCTCTCTCAATTTCTCTTAAAGAGATGTGAGGGTTCATGTGAACCATGGCCAAAACGGTAAGCGTACGAGGATTGGCAGGATTCATCCATTGTTGTCGTTGTCGTCGTTGCAGAACTCTTCCTCTTCGACAATTTCTCTCGATAATCCGAATGCATGAAGCTGAGGGATGACGTAATTGGTTTCGGTACCGTTGTTGATACACTCGAGCGGCCGCACGATATGCACCTAGATACCATATCCACAACTTCATTTGCGGAATAAACCATGATACGCGAAATCACTCAAAAATAATCTGAACTCAATAATGACCCGATTGGTACTAACTAAGAAACAATAAACACTAAGGTACACCAGATAGCTCTGGTATTTACACTTTTGTGTTTACTGGTTCTTATTTAAAGGCCACTTTCTGTTTATCGTGTCTGAATTTGGAATATCGTTGACAAGTTCCATTTTTAGTATTTTTGAGCTCAGAAAGCATAAAAAACACATTATGTGTGACATCATTAGATTCATCTCATCGAGTACAACATGTTTTTTTACAAGAAAATTTTTGATCCCATATGAGAAAAATGAACTTATGCTTGTAGCATAAAAACATGAAGACTTAAATGCTCAAAACATACCTCATTATTTTTCCCACTTGGAGCCCTACAACTTCTATTTGAAAGATTTTCGATTACTACCCACATTCAATAGTTATTTGGGTGTACAATTTCATCTCGGACACCCTGTATATATCGCTGTCCAGAATTTTCCTGACGCAGGCGCTCAGGGCAGCAAGTTCCGTTTGGAAT